AAATCACGCTAGTTAACCAGCTCAGGTTGTGCTCCTCAGTGAATTTGAAAGCATGTACTGAAAGCAAGATTTCTTACTAAACTTACTAATAAGCTTATTAGGACATGATTTAAAAAAAAAAAAAAGCATATTATCACTCTTGTCTCTCTCACCTCCCGTTGCAGTTTCTCCATAGTCCGGTCCAGCAGCCTCCTCTCATCTTCAATCTCATTCTTGGTGTTTTTAAACTGCTCTTTCTGATTCCTCTCCTCCTTTAGTCGCTCCTGCAGCTCATGGTGCTCTTGAGTCAATGTGGTCAAGTTTCTCTATGGATGGGAAAGTGTTATTTAACACAGTAAAACATGACTTCCTTTCGGCCAATTACTGAAATAGTAAAGCTGCTCTGAATGATAGTTTTAAGACCGTGTGACCTAAATGAAACCTCTGAAGCTGTAAAAACCACATTATTATTCAGGAGTTTGACTGTTTCACTTCTAATTTAGACTTCTTTCAAAAATAACAGCTTACTAACCCAAAACTTTTGAACGATATACACAAAAAGTAGTTGTAGTATACTCAAAAGAACAAATTCATAACTCAACCAAACTCTTCGCTCCCTTCTTAGCTCCAGCTCAAAGTTGGGTTTCCCAGGTCTCACCTGCACATCCTCTAGGCGAGTGCTAAGAGCCCGGTTTGCACGGGTCATTTCCTCTTCCTGTTCCCTGATCTCAGCAAGAGACTCCTCCAACTGCCTTTTCTCTTTCTAGTAACAAACAAACACATTACAGATGTTTTACATCTCTGTGTCTGCATTTCTAGACACAGATTAAGCCTTTTCCCCAGAAGTTAATGGGGATTCAGTGCCCATTAGGACAGGACAGTCTTAATCTTCGTCTGGGGAAACTGCCTCATGTTGATGTAATCATTAGAACGTAATATAAAACTACGCGGCAGAAAATCTCAGCACATGAGAAGTTCATATGTCGTTTGCCTTGGGGCTGTGAATATAAATGTAAGTTTCTTTTTCACGCAATCAAAGAGCGGGCTGAAGGTACCTCCCGATGGACAGCTCGCTCCCCGAGCCTGCTCTCCTGCAGCTTGGCTTCATCAATGATGCGGTTGAGT